GGAAATCCCATCACTACTTTCTAAATGGAGGGACAGTAACTGCGTGTGTATATGTAAGCGTGTAAAACCTGAAGACAGTAAGATTAACAGTAACAGTATTTTGTCTCTATCTCCCATTCTGCAATTCATCTCATGTAAACGTGGCGCACAGCGTGATGTGAAAAAAGGCACATACCTTTGACGTTGCGTGATGAACTCTGTATTCCTCACCCACACGTAAACGGAAAAAAATGAGTTTTAAAAAATCTCAGTTTTTGGTGATAGGAAACGCCGTTTACGTGTGGACGAAACAGCTGCGTTTTCAAAAATATCCGTGTTGGTGTGGAAGTAGCCTAAAAGAGTTAGTAGTTTATTTTATTACTACCTGTCATTTGTTGCAGATTACTTGTATTTGTTGAATTGTTTACTAAATGTTTGAGGTGTGAAAGAAACCGCAATGGAGCAAAATATGGGTGTGTGTGTGTGGTTGGAGGATGTGTTTGTGCATGTTTGCATGTACGTGCAACAAGGGGGGGGGGGGGGGGGGGGGGGGGTCGCGAACATTTTTCTTGTAAAACAACCCCCTTTGTTTTACAGGAAAAATGTTCGCAAACTTTTTTTGCTAGGCCCCCCTGCCTAGCAAAAAATGTTTGGGAACCGCTGGTCTAATTACTGGATTTTGTACAGTAATGTGCTCCATCATTGCCTTACCGAAATGCTGCTCCAGCTAATTTTTCCTGCTTAGTAAATCCTGCCAGGAGTCTTGTCATTAGCTGCATCACAATAAATAAATAATAAATCAGCAGAAAAAATCTACTCACTGGCCACCAAAGAGCTGCATACCCAGCAGAGCAAAGACCACGATGAAGAGGAAGAGCAGAAACAGCAGGCTAATAATGGACTTCATGGAGTTGAGTAGGGATACCACAAGGTTCCTTAATGAGTTCCAGTACCTACACAAAGACACACCAGTATGAATCCATTGTGTAATCCGGTTTTACAGAACACAGACAAACATTTCCATTTACTCACTTGGTGACTTTGAAGATCCGGAGCAGCCTCAGTGCTCGCAGGACACTGATTCCAAATGAAGCCCCGGGCTTCATGGCTGCCCAGACCACCTCAAAAATACTGCCAATGATCACCTGTGAACACAGTTTGATAAATCAAAACCGTCTGAATTTCTTTCTTCAATAATTTGCTACATTTCTTTTCTATAGAACTAGTTCTGAATCATGCTAGTTTCCCTATAAATGTTCTCAAAATGCACAACAAATTGACGAAACAGTCAACTGAAGTGGGCAACTCACCCCGAAGTCAAAACAGTTGAAAGAGGAGTGAAAGTAGTTCTGGGGTCCAAGACCATACATTTTCATGGACATCTCCACCAGGAACAGGCCCAAAAATACAAACTCCGCAAGGTCTGTCCAGAAGAAATAGATATAGCTGATTCTATAGCAGCTATGCCAACAGTGAATAAGACACAGAAAGAGACTATTTGTGTATTACAAAACGCTGTTTGAGTCATGTGTGTTTACACGTGTTGCTGCAGCACAGAACTACAGGAATTAGAGTACTAGTAAAAAAAAAAAAAAAAAAAAAAAAGCAGATACAGGCAACGGCAATTTTGTATGCAAGAAAGATGATCTCACCAGGATCATAATAAAGCTGG